CATGGACAATGAGCAGCTGACCACAACCCTCTGCCTGTGACTGTCCAGCCAGTTCTTCATCCACTGAGTAGCCCACCCATCAAATCCATGTCTCTCCAATTTAGAGACAAGGATGTCATGTGGGACAGTGCCAAACGATTAGCATAAGTTCAGGTAGATGATATCAGTTGCTCTGCCCCCATCCACCAATTCTGTGGCCCCATCATAGAAGGCCACCAAATTCCTCAGGCATGACTTGCCCCTGGTAAAGCCATGTTGGTTATTACTGATCACCTCTTTGCTTTTCATGTGCCTAAGCATAGCTTCCAGGACAATCTGCTCCATGGTCTTGGCAGGCACAGAGGTATCTGGTCAATAGTTTCCTGGTTCTTCTAGTTTCCCCTTTTTAAAAATGGGAGTTATATTTCCCTTTTTCCAGCCATTAGGGACTGCCACAATTTCTCAAAAATTATAGACAGTGGCTTAGTAACCATATCTGTCAGTTCCCTCGGGACCCAAGGATGAATCTCATGAGGACCAATGGACTTAGGCACATTCAGGTTCCTCAGATGGTCTCAAACCTGATCCTCTTCTACAGTGGGTTCAGGAGTTTCATCCTCCCAGTTTCCACCTTTGCCCTTCTTGGTCTGGTCAGAATGGCTAGAGCACTTGGAGATGAAGACCGAGGAAAAGAATTCGTTAAGAACCTCAGTCTTTTCTTTATCCAGGGTAGCCAGTTCTCCTGTTTCCTTATGGGGAGGGCCCACATAAATAATTGCAGAGGGAAATAGATTTTCTCACATGAAAAGTGAAAGCAGCAAATGCAGAAAAGATCTCCAAAAGGTCTCCTTACTGATAGCATTGCCATGCAATATGAAGCAAGATGAGCAAAATTTAAGCATCCGACCACAGTGTTCTCAGTGTCTATGAGACAGACTTGGTCCAGTACATTAAAGATGCATTTATAGTATATAAAATTGCTTTACCTCTGTTTAGTTCTTTGCTATACAGAAAAAGGAATAAGGCAAACCTACTGGTTTGCAGTGGTATAACTAGAGCCATGGCACAGTGGTACTACTAAGATTACACAAACACAAAAGAATAAATAAATCACGCCCATTGCTCTCATAGCTGCTGGTAAAGACCTATGTTTAAGCAAACTTCACTAAGTTATTGAAGCTAGATTGGATGGCTATGAAAAAAAGAGTTAACAAAGCACATCAAGAAATGAAAGTAGCTGGAAATGAAAGCTGTGAGAATACACTTGTTAAATGACTCTCACATGTCAGGAAGTAAATTCTGCACAAGCCTGGAATGTTACTAGAGTGCATGGCCATCCCAGTGATTTGAATCTTCAGAGAGAAGCAGTGAAGCAGGTGGTCACACCTGAGCATGAAAGATAACATCAATAAGCTTATGATAGAATACACAGATAAGGACAGGATCAAACTTCTCCATGCAAATACAAATGGCTCAGACCAATGAAAGCACTGTGTACCTTTTAGACTAGCTGGCCACTTTTTCTCATTACATGAGCTTGTCTAATAAAAAAATACTCATTTCCAGAGGCATTTGGGTTCTCCTTTATCTGGTAACTAGGCTGAAAAACATTCACAGAAGGCTGTTAAAAGTTCCACCTTCTGCATTCTGATCAAGAGCACAAAGACTAATAGAAGTAACGATTTCACTTCAAATATGCTCAGAAGCCCAGGTTCCTCTTGGATTTCAGAGAACCTTCTGTATGACCAGTGTATTATTTCTGGCACAACTTGGAATAGAGAGCAGCAACAAAACCCAAAATATGTGAATACAGACCAGGCATGGAGCACCCAATTTCCAGCCAGCTCTGAGATCAAAGGGCCAAGTTTTACAGCTACTAGGAGAATCTGTGGGAAGCAGAAAGCAGAACTGCACCTGCTACACAAACTCCATTAACTGTCTTGAATTGTTCTACCCTGGAAAGAAAAAAGGAAAGGCAGAAATAGGGCAGCCAATCATGCATGGATTTAGTTCAAGATGTGGCATTTTCTCTGCCTTCAGAGATTTCCTCTGAACCTTGAACAATGTCACCTCTTTCGGCTTACTCTCTTCACAGTATTAGAGCAGCCCACAGCTTACAGATTGATAGAGTTATGCAAAATGTAATGAGTGGTAAACTAGGTAATTAATTCCAGTGGTTAAACAGAACAAACGTCTCCATCTTGTTGGGCTTTCTGAAGTGGGAGTGAAAAATCACACACAAAAAACCCAACAACAGACAACTAAAACTGCTAGTCTAATAATATATGAAATAGCTATTTTGAGGTTTTGCTTTTGCATCCACCTTTCAAACTAAAAATACATAACTGCATCTGAAGATCACGATGGACAAACACAGCAGACAGCACGTAAACGCTGCAAGTAAAATGACATAGGAAAACTCAATATATTTCCTCAGTAGCAATACACCAGAACTACAAAGGAGGCTGTGACAGCTTTTCAATGCTCTGGAGGTTTTGTACAGTCATTCATCACCACTGTCCCTGCTCCATTACATTTTATTCAAGGATTACTGGTCTACATCTAAAATGGGAATGAGGCAATTCTACGCAAAAATTTTAATTGATACAAGGAATAGCGATTTGTGTGTTAGTAAAGACAGCAGGAACTCTTTGGCAAAAGACCACCAAGCATCTTCTGATTTGAATCAAGATTTCAAGAGCTAAGACTGCCTTTTCTTTCAAGGGAACTGCAATACACAATTGTTGCAAGTTTGAAACATTACACATAGTGTGCCATGAGATTCTCAATTTAAAAATAACAGTAAACCAAGTAAGTGAAATAAATTTTAATTCCCTTTTAAAATGTGCATTTGAATTTGATACAGGTCTGTAAGGCACACACGTAAGTAAAAAAAAATTTTAAAATTAAACATTCTTTTCCAAATAAGGACAATTACAAGGCAATGGTATGTGCATAGAATATAAACTCATTTGTAACTGATAAACAATGAAACATGAATGTTCAGGTTTTGGATGCATTGCAATGTAATGTCATTTCTGTTTCATGACACTACTCAGAGTAAATACTGGCACTGTAAATGATTTCTCATTGGGGTTAGGGGCTTGTATTCTCTTCATATCCCAGAAAAAAATAAACTCTTTAATAAATAAATTTATAAAATAAATATATGCTATTTGGAGATGTATAAATAAGTCCATCCTGAAGAAATGTTCCAGGTCTGACTATGACGATTGACATCTAACATTCACCACTTAAGTGGAGCCATTAAAACTTCATATACAGTTCTCAGGATTTATTACTCTTGTACAGTCCTTTTCTTTTTGTTTCTTCCAGCTGATGTCTCATTTGCTCTTTGCTAATCTACGGACCAAGGTAATCCAGACAAAACGGCCAAGAGTTTGCTATTTTTTAAAAAAGTCACACTCCAGCTTCCCTCTGGTTACTGGCTACCACACAGTTCAGCAAGTTTGAAGGAGGCTGGTCCACTCTCAGCTTTAAGGCCTTGTCTCCTAAATCCAGAGGTTAAAAAACAGAGGCTTGCCTTTCACAAAGGAGCTTCTTCACATCCAGCATACCAGACATCTGCAGGTTCCTCATGCTGGCATTACCACAAAAGCTGAGGCAACGGCTCTAGTTTGGGGTTTTTCCAAAGCTGCCTCCTTCTTCAGCTGTATCCTAACACATCTTTGTACAGGTCTGGAACTTTTTCAGGATCCACAGGCCGGGGCAAGAAATGTGTGAATTTCTGGTGTCTTTTGGACCTTGCCCCATCTCTGGGAGTACCATCTTTGTTCAGCGCTACGAAGTATCGCCGCCCCGAATCTCCATGTTTGTACACGTTGGACGAGTAAGTGTTGTACCAGTTTTCCTCAAACTGTTCCCTGAAGATGCATTCAGAAGTTAGTTTCTCCTATAGAATGTAACAGCAAAGAAAATAAGTTAAGCTGTCACTAGATATCTGAAGACATGACAAAAATACAATAAAAATAAACAAAATGCATTAGGCTTTGTGCAGCCTTACTGTTCATTTACACATCAACAAACCAAACCCAAGAATATGTAGCTCTGAGTTTGGACACCTGGATCTGTACATACACAATTTTGGGTTTTAACATGAATTAGATAACACTCACTCTAAGAAAGCATTACTTACTTATGATTTAAAATTCATCTGTCTTACAGAGACTGTATTATGTAAAGTTCTGTCTTAAGGTATCTACTATTCTAGAAATGAGACTTGCTGGAGGGACTCAGGTGCAACATAACAGATCAGGAAGGTATTTCCCTATGTCCTTTGTGGTGTACATCCCTTCTCACATTTTAAATGGGAATAACCACAACCAAAGAAAGTGGAGAGACAGAATATTTTTTCTCAGGATGTTTTAAGAGACATCAACTGTAATCAGTACAAGCCTATTTTCATTCTAAACACCAATATTCCAGTCAGGATCTACAGGTATTGTCAGTACTCTTGCACCATTCAGATTTTTCAAACAACAGTGGTATTTATTTGTGACATATGGTTTTATCCTCTTTTCCCCAGCATTTGAGAGATTGGTTTCATGTTGAAAAGTTGGTACCTGGAAGTACCTCATGCTGATTTAAAAAGAGCATTAGGCTATATATAGAAGTATGTCAGATATTATATTAATTGTTGTTTATTTGTTCTATAACTATCCTTTTAATTTTTTTCCGGTTGCATTTGATGTTCTTGATAATATTGCATGCACTGTGATACATTTGCAGAATTGGTAAAATAAAATTAGATAGCATGTAACATAACAAATGCTGTTCACATAGCTGGTTTAATTTATCTACTTTTGTCATTATTTAAGAGGAATATTACTTTTCCATTCTCTTCATCTAGGACAGGGGAACTTTTCCTATTGAATCTTTAGTATCCAAGGCTCTACTGTATACTTAAAAAACGTATTACGCATTTCAACAGGAAAAGATGTTAGTGTTTTGAAAGCTGAGATTACTTCAGCTAGCTACTTGCATAGAGTTAAGAAGTGAATCAAAACTCAACATGTAGGAACTGACATGAAAGTGATACTTACAGAGCCATAGAGTTCTCCCTTCTCATTCATTCCAAGGTAAAGGCCACTGTCCACACCTCTAATACTAACCAATCCCACTGCCACACTGATGAATTCAAGGATACCTGAAGAAGAAAAAAAAAAAGATTTCTTTAATTCAACATTTAAGCGCACAATACAATACGCAGCATCCAACAACACAGATTAAAACAATTAGAAAATGTATGTATTATAAGAAATGTGACCCAATTTCTCTGAAATTTCAAATGCTCTACAGAAATGTGCACAACATTCACAGGAAAGCAGTCTGAGAAGCCTCATCTAGGAACATGAATCCTACACCATTTAAGAAACTTTTTAAAATGTTGACTAGGAAAGGATTTTATTCAGCACTGAGGCTAAAGCCTTCAGTACTATGCGATTGCAGACTACAATGATTATTTGCTAAACTGCCTCCTCAAACATTGGAAGATAGGTTTGAACTACCTGAATATCTACTTCACTACTTCTGTAGAATTATCATAAAAAATACATCCATTATTAGATCATTTGGATGGAAATCAAAGTACAGATGGGAATTTTATACAACAGAATCTACCCACAGGAAAAAAAACCCCAGTATTTGCCAGACTCTTATCTAGCATATCGGCCCACACCTCTTGACACAACTTGCTGTCTTCAGTGCAGGCTTTAAGTACATGAAATAAGCTGCTTTTTTGCTACTGTTTAGATTACAGCATTATTTACATTACACTTGCCCAAAAATGAAATCTATATTAATAAAATACAGTATTCAAGGGATGAGGCACTATTTGAAGCTTGAATTTGGCAAGGGTAAGCCAACATATTTAACCAATTGATATGCAGAGATTACAGTACATACAAAACATGAAAGAAAGGAAACGTGTGAACTGGCTTTTGGAAGTTGTTAACAATGTAAACAAAGCCTCAAAAAGAAGCTGTGCTAGAATCATACCTAAGATTTTGCAGTTCAGCAGCAAAACCACAAAGTATTCAAAGAAAACATCTGAATCTAAGTTGCTTTAAACAGTGCATTTGATTATGATTTTTTTTGTCCGCTTGCTATTTATGCTTTCATGACCGTTTTCACTCTTAGACAGATGGACTGTCAGGACTATACAATAATTTAAAATGTTTTGAATTTTAATTCAGCTTTGGCAAGTTTCTTAGTTCTATTGACAAGTAGCAAAGAAAATAAATCCTTTACAAAGAGTTAGCATTAAAAACTCTGGCACACCTAAATCATCCTAGTTTTCCAGGTCCTAAAGCAGAATGTACCATAAAAGGGGTGGAAGCATTTTATCTTTCTGATATCACTTTCAAAGCCACCCTTTTCCAAGACTGTAATAAGCAGGTGATACAACTTACAAAGCAACCACATCAGACAAGCATGCCAAGAATAGTGGTAGAATAAAGGAAGTACATTTCTAAAAGGTCCTGTAAACGTTAGATCTGGGGCTAACTTCTTTTTCCTTTTAAAGCAAAGATTTATTTCATGTTTACATGCTGCAGGAAATCTTCATTCTGAGAAGAACTCTTTGGCTACTGCTCTTTTACTTTTTAAAACATCCATGTGTTATAAAAGCAATTAAGAGCCATTTCAGTAGGTTGTTTTGACTATGGAGGGGATGATAGGAAAGTCTTTTATCATCCTTTTACAACTGTAAAATCAACACACACCGAAAGTCACATGCAGTTGATAACAGGTTTGTTCAGATGTCCAGCTCCTACAACTACCAAGAATTTACTCTTCTATCACAGGAAATATTTGCATTTTGTGGTTGTCTTCACTTCCTTTGGGTTTATTGACACAGAGGGCTGACTGGAAGCATTTTAAGCATTTGAGCAAAGAGGTGTTTAAGGCTCCTCTGCCTCAGTTTTCCGTCCTTCAAACCAAAGCAGTCTAGGGATCAGCGTGCCCGAGCCCCTGATCTGTTCTACAAAGACTCAAGAAGCTCCGACACCAACAGCAAATCCAAAAAGGCTCGGTCTGACTGCCAACCTTCGCCACTAAAACCGCCCACACGCGTGTCCCTCCGGCCCCGCGGTCCGGGCTGAACGCGAGCACTCGCCTGTCTCCAGTGTCCCGGGGACGCTCAGCCCTCCCTCACACCCTGCCGGTGCAGACCCCACGCTGAGCCGGTACCGCGGGCTCGGCCACCTGCCCGAGCATCACACCTCC